ATACTATTAGAATTTCCCGAAACACTATTTCCATCCAGAGCCTCTTCACCTCCAGTACCATCTATCCAGCTGTATTTTAGCCATTACCTTTTATAAAGATATACTTTTTGTATATCTTAGCAGCACCTCAAACTCAACGTATCTAAATGGAACATCATCATCCTCTTTCCACAGTATTCCCCCATCCTGTATATTCTCTCCTCCCTCTATAAAAGCTCAGCTTCTAAAAGAGGTCCAGCTTTCTAACATCCCAGCTTTCTGGGATTATCATGGATGCCTCCTCCTTCAAGCCCACATCAGGTTAGTTTCTAAGTCCCATTAAACTGACTTTCTGGATAGTTGGTGAACATGTCCTCTGTTCATATCCCACTGCTTCAATCCAGGTCTTCTTCATCCCCCCTGGACTATTACAATAGCCTTCTGATTTCTCCCTTACACCACTGGAACCCATTCATCACATTGCAATATACAGAGAGATCCTTGATAAGCTCCCCATAGGGCTTAGCATAAAATCCAGCAGTAAGTACACAGGGCAAACAAGGCCCTTTGTCACCCTGTGCCTCTGACTGGTCCTCCCTCCTCAATTCCCACCATCGCCTTTATACTCTACAACCTCCCACCACAATGAATCAACAATAGGTTGGATCATGAACTGAAGGATGTGTACATATAATTTCCTCCCCCCTGGGCTTCTGAGCCAATGGCCAATTGTCTACTCAGCTTAAACTCTCTGTCTCCATCAGTCTTCTCTGAACTTCAGTCTGAGGTGATATACTACTCTCACGTATGCTTTTGTTGTTATGTGTCATAGAGTCACTGCGACTCATAGCAATACTATGTACAATAACTCTGAAGCCTGCTCCATCCTGAGCCAATCTCGTAGACTCCAACATGCCAACCCCCACTGCCCTAGTTACTGTTATCAATCCATCTCATCCAGGGTCTTCCTCTCCTGGGCTGTCCCTCCACCCTTCTGAGCATGTCAGCATGTCATTCTCCAAGATCAGTCCCTCCTGGCCACCTGCCCAAAATATGTGAGACGAAGTTTCAAAATCCTAGTCTCCAAGGAAAATCTTGGTTTCACTCAAAGACCAACCTATTTGTTTTCTTGATATGTTCAAGGATCTTCTCCAGCATCACAATTCAAAAGCATTGATTCTTCTTCTATCACCCTTTGTCATTATCCAGCTCTCTGATGCATAGCAAGTAATTGCTAAGACCGTGAACTGGATTAGACACACCTTAGTCTCTAGACCGAGATCACTGCGTCTCAGTTGCTTCACATCTTTACCTTGATCAAACACTTCTAGACAACATTTATCACATTGTCTTTCTCCTGCAAACAAGGACTCTTCTTCCAAGAATAGGGGGAGATTAACAGTTGCTTAAGAAATGCTTACTGAATAACAAAATTGACTAGACAGCACTTAACATGTCTGGATCAAAATAAAGATGATTCTCTTCAAAAGATGAACCATTCAATGTGACATTCTTGATGAGAACAGGTGATTGGACAAAAACTATCCAACAGATTTCTAAAATTAACCTATAACATCAGATGTTAATTTTCACATAGAAGAATTACTCTCTCATTACTGAAGAGCTAGATATGTCCAACGAGTATACAGTTCTTATTCCAGAGATCTTTTTTTTATTAGGGGAGTAGTCTGTTGGTAGCTGTCTTACCAACCCAAAGATGGTGCCTCTCTGGTATACAGAAGGTCAGCTTCTACTAACTCCACGGCAATGAGGGTTGTTTTAAGTTTTTCATAACACTTTTCTTTTTTCAAGACTACTACTTTTATTAAGGTGCCCTCGTAGCATAGTAGATTAAGCTCTGCATTACTAATAGAAAGACCGATGGTTCAAATCCACTAGCCGCACCCTATGGGGCAGCAGTAGCTTTACCTTGTCCTGCAGAGTGAGTCATATGGACTTGAAGGCAGTGGATGAACTCTTGAAACCTTTAATGCCTGAATTAAATTAAGACCACTTCTATGGCTTTGGCTTCAACTGCGGTGACTTCTCATTTGTAGTAACAACAACAGTAATATCTAGAACATTCTGAGAAATTTTACTTGTTGGCCATTTCCTACTTGTTGGCCTGAGCATAAATACAACTTCCACCAACAAAAACAAAAGCACACCCTCCACCTTTTTACTCAGATGGGACATCTATACAGACTAGATTGTGACCTGTATACATAGTGTACCTTTATCAAGGGGGAGGGGCTTTTATATTTACATTTTGTAGTTGTTCCTGGAATCATTTGTTAAGTGCAGCATTGCTGATCTAGAGGAACTTTAGCTATTTTATTTTCTCTGGTATTAAAAACTACCTTACAAGCTTTCCCAAGCCCCTCTTCATGGAAGAGAACGATAGGTAAATTCTGTTGTTGTTGTTGTTGTGTAACTGTGGGTGGAACAGAGCCATAGTGGACCCTCCAGCGGCTTTTCAGAGGCAGCAAATCACACAGAAGGAGACTGCACATCCATCTCCTTTGAAGCAGCTAGTGGATTCGAACACCTTTGGGTTGGCAACACAACTCCTTACCATTAAACAGCCATCTGAGCTCCCTTTAGAGTCATTACTTAACCAAATTCTAAGAATATCAAGAAGTACTTTTCTTTGAACAGTAACAAAAATCTTGTAGCAAATACTGCTTCAAACATCCATAAAACAGCTAATCCAATTGATCTAAATTGCACTTGAGATTTACCGTTGGTCTAAGTCAAGATACTTGGCCATTTAAAAAAAATAAAATAAATGCATATTTTAATGTACTTATCTTGCCCATGGTGTTCTGGTGGCATAGTGTGTTTTGAGTTGCTTTGCTAACGGAAAGGTTATAAGTTTGACTCCACCAGCTGCTCTGTGGAAGAACAACGGACCGGCTCTCCCTTATAAATATTTACAGACTTAGAAATTGATGGAAGATCCTCAAAAGTCAGAATCTACTAAACAGCACTGGGTTTGGTTTGGGGCTTTTTCTTGTCCAACTATGGTGACTATGCCTGGAATTTCTGCAGATAGGAACAGATTCTTGTACGCTAGATCATTTCAGTGGCATTCCAGCTCTGTGTGGTAACTTTTAGTAATATACATTTCCTCTTGATGCTTTGCTGACCACCATGATGAGATTAAGTAGTCTCCAGGACCACTGTTAGGGAAACTTTAAAAAAATGGATTTGAGTTCTCAAAACGGAATTTACAAGGTAAAGTCTAACACTTGTTTAAACCGAGGTCATGAAATCAACAAAGGCCTTATAAATGAAGAACCGGCATCCTTCTGTCATCTTCTAAATATGAATACCAGAAGCCTCAAAGAAGAACTTGAGGGGACCTGGGTGGTTCACAGACACCAGGAGGTGAAAGCAGGGTACAGTTTAAGAGTGCAATGCAGATTCCCCCAAGCCCAACACTGCCTGCTATCCAGGACAGTCAACCTTCCCTGCAAGGAAGTTAGGGAGTTTCCCTCTTCTTCACATTTAGGACTAAGAAGTAGTGGTTTGCAAAAGGGTTTAAAAACTAAACTTAAAAAAGAAACAAACCCTCAAACAACTAAAACTAGTTGAGAGAGAAACTCCAGGGGGTTTTCCAAGGTTGTAAATTGCACAGAGGAAGATCCTGCCTTATCTTTCTTCCTCTGAGCAACTGAAGAATTTGAATCACCTGAAAGGCACAGCAGGCCATCAGAGCTTCCACAAAGAGTTGGGTTTCTTGAGCTTGGAATTCACCAGGATCCACAGGAGAAAAGATGGGCAAGCTCTCAAACAATTGAAAACCTTCCAAAAAAACAATGGAAAGAGAGCTATGGTGGCCTAGGGGCAACAAGAGGTGGGGAACACACAAGAGAGTCAGCGAGTCAGTCAGGGGTTGGTACTGACTGAGGGCAATGAGAATAAGGGAACACTGCAGAGTTAAATATCAGGAAAGGTGTGCCTCAGGGTTGTATCCTCCCACCATACTTTTTCAGTGTGTGTGCTGAATAAAAAAATCTGAGGAAACTGGACTATATGAAGAAGAGGACAGAAGGAAGACTCTAACAAACTGTGACAGGCAGATGACACAGCTTTGCTGAAAATGGAGAGAATCTGAAGCCGTTAACTGATAAAGCTCAAAACTACAGCCTTCAGGACCAATTACACGTCAACATACAAAAAAGAAAAATCCTCACAACTGGACCAACAAGCAACATCAGGATAAATGGAGAAAAAAAAATAGAGTTGTAATGGATTTCATTTTACTTGCCTTCACAATCAATGTCCACTGGAAAGGGTAATAACGAAATCAACATATTGCACTGGGCAAAGCTACTGAAAGGACTACTTTAAAGGGCTGTAGAGCAAGAATGTCATTTTAAAGATCAAGGTGTGCCTGTACAAAGCCAGGGTATTTTCAATTGCTTCATAAAGTCGGGCGTTTTATAAATTAAACTGAAGAAGAATCGATGTCTTTAAGTTGTGCTGTGGGAGAGGAGTGCTGAATATCCCAGGGTCTGCCAAAAGAACAGCAAATCTATCTTGGAAGAAGTCAAGCCAAAATGTTTCTTAGAAGAGACTTCACCTCACGTACTTTGGACACGTTATCAGGAGAGGCGAGCCATGCTTAGTAGAGGAGAGTCGACGGACAGAAAGAGCCTCAAAGAGATGAATTAGCACATTGGGGGCAACAATGGGCTCGATCCCAGCAGAGATCCTGAGGATGGCGCAAGACCAGGTAATGTTTTGTTCTGTTGTACACGGCTGCCCGAGTCAGAACCACCGTACAACCACCTCCACCCTCACGGATCCAGGAAGAGAAGAAAGAGGCTCTGCGTCTCCCCACCCGTCACCTGGGCCCGGACTCCTAGGCGACGAGGTTCGCTCGGAGCTGGAGCGCACAGGCCGCACCCCTGCCGCATTAGGCGCCCAGCGCGCGCGCAGGACTCCCGGCGCCGCAAGGGGCGCGAGCCGGCCCCCGAAGCCCTCCGCCGCGGCCAGGCCCCCGCATCGCTCACCGAGTCCAAGCGCCGCCGCCAGCACCGACCACAGCCAGCGCCTGCGGTCTGGGGTTGCAATCACTGCCTCGGCCCCAGCGGGCACTGCCATGGTGCTCGCGCTGCAGCCTCGGCGGGGCTTCCTGGGCCCCGGTCCCGACAGACGGTGCGACTCCCGACTGGGGAAGAAGGATCTCCACAACCGCGTGCGGTCGCACTTCCACGCCGCACTCCCCGCTCACGGCCCCAGGCGCTGCCTGCCAGCCCTGCGCCCGCCCTAGCTGGCCGCTCATTGGCCTGCCTCTTGCCTTTTAAAGGATCCGATTGGGAAGCCTGGCCTATCCATCATCTTCTCTAGTTGTATGGAACTGCCTGCGAAGTCCCACCCTGGGGCCTGAGCCCTGAAATGCAGGCGGCCTCTGCAGTCCAAGCCCTCCATCTGCCTGCGTGGCTGTCCGCTTGTCGGTCATGGCCATCCCAACACCCTGCCAGTGTCCTTTCTGCCGCTCTTAGTTATGGTCCAAATCCTACCGTTGTGTTTATTGTCTTTTCTCACCACAGGTCTCTGCCTGGCACTTAACCTGGTCTGTATTTCAATTCTTGGTTTCTCTGGGCCTCATGTGAAGAAAACGCATCCATTCAAGAAGAAAGCAAGAAAGAAAAAGTGTGGGGGGGGGGGGGGGGGGGAGAGAAGGCAAAGAATGTGATGAGAAGAGAATTCTGATTCAGTAGGCCAGATACAATACATCCACCACTCATTTTCCTCATGGCCTGCCCTACACCTGGGCTAGGTAATTTATGGGCTAAATTTTGAGAAAGTCATTAGTTTAATTTAAATCTTTGCCTAGTGGCAAAAAAGCTGCTCCACAATCCCGAAGGCACTCAGTTTAAGGCCAGCAGCTGCTCCGAGAAGGATGGGCAATCTCTTCTGGCAAACTCTCTGGGGGCTCAGCTTTGGGTCGGTTCTGACTCTACAGTACACAGTAACAATCTTCTCTTAGGAGGATGCAAAATGCATTTTGTTGGCCTTTCCTTTGCATAGAAATACCACTCAACTTCTCAATTAAAAAAAGAGATTAAAAAAAAAGAGAGAGATTAATGCTACTGAACTGTACATGCCAGGTCGGAACTAATTCATAGCTGACACTTACAGTAGTCTACTCATCTTTCTTCCGAGAAGCAGCTGGTGAAATGGCATGCTTTTGGCAACACAGCTCCTTACCACTAAAGCCACCAGAGTTCCCTTGGCCCAGAAGAGTCTTTGCCATATAGCTTTTGCCTGGAAAAGCATTTGGGAGGATAGCCTACCAAAGCACCCCAAAAAAAAGGGTGAAGGTGAAAACAGAAGAGGAAAAATCTAGGCAGGAACCTGGTGGAGTGAAGGAAGGAAACAAATCTTGGTTAAGACTACAGTGGAGAGGATACAATAGAGTGGGAGATCCCAAATACACCTTTCACTGCAGAGGTTTTAGTCTAAAGTCAATCTTCTCAACACCCTCCTGGACTCTTTGCTGTTTTAGTTTACTAACCTTGTAACCTAGTTCTGGTGGCCTAGTGGTAAGGCCCTAGTGGTTGTGCTGTCAACCCAAACTTGGGTAATTCGAATCCACCAGCTGTTCTATGGGAGTAAGATGGACAATCTCCTTCGTTGCAATTTACAGCCTCTGAAAACCCTCTGAAGGGTCAGCTGTGAGTTGATTCTGACTTGACCGTGCATAATAACAGCCTTGTAATACAGCAAAACCAAAATTATTACTTTCACAAGAGTGAGAGAAAGCAAAGTAACAGTCCTAACACCATTCCCCCCCCTTTCATCTCTGCCAACTCCTTGTTGAGTTTCTGCAATGTAGAATGCTGTAGATAATTTGGAAAGAAGATCATTTCAATGAGTAACTACTATGCATTGTAGATAAAAACTCCTAAAATTTACTTTCATAAAGCATGCAGCCTATTCATGTAAACAAATAAGTACTTGCTTAATTTTTTTTTTTTTTACTGCTTGAAGGGTAAATAAAGAAATCCAAAGCTAACAGGTAAATAAAGAAATCCAAAGCTGTTCATGAAAAAGCTTCTCTGCTGATTATGATGATC